CCGGCAAATACGGTACCTCAGGTAACTTATTCCATTTTTCAAATTTTCTAAAAAGGAATAATTTTCCATCATCATAATAAAATACACCTTATATGATTAAATATCAATAACAAGAAAAGGAAATAGAAACACTATAGTTTATAATAATAACTTTGTGTCTTAAGTATAAAACCACTTTTCATCGACACACATCCGTATATATTAGGCTGTCGGAAAAGTCATGACGTATTTTTTCTGTTTTTCATTGCAAAAATGCGTCATGACTTTTCCAACAACCCAATATACCAACGTGCTGATAATACACATTCTTTCCTTCCTTTGCCCCATCTGCAATTTGTAATTGATTGTCTCCTTTGCTGATAAGGAGATGGAGGTTTCACCTGTTCAGCATTCTATCTACTTCTGATACAAGAGCTATTTTATTCCCAATTTAGGAATATAATATAAAAGTATTTAAAAATGTAACTTCAACATCTGTATTTTATTTCATATATTGTCACTACCTCCCCATCCCCTACCCAATTCACACAGAAAACCGACTTGTACTTTCTTTTCTAAGACAATATGATGTAGTAATAGTGTATAGGGCACAGGACTTCGAGTTAAAATTATCAGGGCAATCTCATCCAATTGTGCAGATTTGCCTGCTGAAAGGAGAGAGACCTGAAACCCAGCTTGTGCTGCTCTGGCAGACCCAGGATGTATCTTACCTGCACAAAAGTGCCATTTGGGTAGGGGCAGCCTGGTGCGTTTGAGGCCAGGCGAAGCTCTGTGATTTGGGACAATCTCCTCAGTCTCTCAGAGACAGCCATCATTTTCTCATCTGCAAAGAAGCACTAGTAATAAATTATATCAAAGTTTTTGAAAAATTAAATTGATACAACACATATGAAAGTAATTTATTAAATTGTAAAGTATGAGTTTTAGTCATTTTTATCTAGCTTCCATAATTATTTGTTTTTATGAGGCGTTTTTTGTTCTGTATGTAAGTCCCCATTTCTCCTTCTCTCTCTTTTATTCCTTCAGTATTCAAGTCTTTGCAAGCCCTTGCAACTTTGTATGTTGGTAAATTGGATTTTTTAGGATGCAAGTTATGTGTAAATATCTTCCTTACAAATTGGAGGATACTGTTTTGTTAGTTGCATGATTCGATATGGATTAAATTTATTTTAATAATACACGGAAGACACTGTCAATTTACATTAAAGCTGTTGGCAGATACTCTGAATTTCATAGATGTCAGACATCACAAATTGTGACTGCTAATGAACTATAACTGTGTACAATAATGCAATTTTACAGCTTTATTTTTTACTTTCTTCTGGGGGAAGATGCTTCATGGAAAACATGTCATGGTCCGTGTTGGTGGAGGCTGGGATACTCTTCAAGGATTTTTGCTTAAATATGATCCCTGTCGAATATTACAGTTTGCTACGCTAGAACAAAAAATTCTAGCATTTCAAAAAGGCGTCTCTAGTGAGAGCACACCCGATTCGCCTGCCAGAACACCGCAGCCTCCTGAAATGAATCCGTTGTCGGCAGTCAGCATGTTTCAGAAACAAAAACCAAGACCTGGCACGCCAGCTGGTGTTCCAAGGGGCAAAGAAAAGCAGGTATGCCCACCAGGTGTGTTGCTGCCTGCCTCTTCCCTGAAAGGAGGTAATCTGGGCTCCATGACAGTCCGTTCCAAAATGCCAAATTCACCAACAGTGTCTTCTCATCTCAAACTCAGATCTTCAAAAGGCATAACAAAGAAACCGCAGGCCCCTTCAAACAATGCGTCACCTTCACTTGCTTCTTTAAACCCAGTAGGGAAAAGCACTTCTTCACCAGCTTTATCAAGAACTGTGCCTTGTGTGTCTGTGTCACTGAGAAAAGATATCTCATCACCTAATACTCCGAAGGCCAAGTTTGTTCCAGGCCAGAGGTCAAGAGATGTGCCTGCGTCCACACTTTTGCCAAATAAGTGTTCTGCAAAAACTGAGCCAAAGCACTTGAAACACAATCACGTATCTTCCAGGCATAATGCAGCATCTCACTCAGCTGCTCATTTTAGTTCATCACTGAAGTGTCCACAGCTCCCTAAACCTACTCCTTCTGTCCAGGCCCCTGCAAAAGTGACACAACCCAGTTCCAAAACCATAGCCGCAGGTCTGGGAACACGGCCTCAGCCATCTGATGGAGCCCCGCAGGCAGGGGCGGTGCCAGCACAGAAACTTCAGTCAGCCTTGAAACTAAACCAGCCACTTTCTGTATCTTCAGTTGCTCTTGCAAAAGCTGCGCAGGAATCGAAAGATAAGAATATAGGTCCAGTTGCCGGAAAGCAGCCTCAGAGTAAAAGCACATCCCAGAAGACAGGACCCAGCTCCTCAAAGGCCCCTGGCCGTACCCCACTGTCCGTCATGAGTCTTCCTCAGTCTTCGGCCAAAACACCAAGTATACCTAAGGCAGCACAGACTGCCACTAAGAGCCAGTGTTCAGCCAAAGGATCCCCCAAAAGTGGCAAAGCCCCAGCTTCAACCAGGAAACCACCCCCATCTGGTCAGGAAGCCGTCAGTGGAGATAAAAAACCTACTGCAAAGAAAAAGGAAGACGATGACCATTATTTTGTTATGACTGGAAGTAAGAAACCTAGAAAGTAAATACAAATGTGCTGTTTTAAGAAAACAGGAAGAGAGTGACTGTTAGCTTCACAACTTAAAAGATTCTCCTATTTGTCTTTGGGCAAATAGGTTCAGACATTAAGCACAATAGTATGGGGATCAGGGATCGGGATGGGGATAGAGGTTGGGGTGAGGAGAGGGCTCAGTAGGATTTACATATCTGACTTTGCCAGAAGGGGCCCTTTTGAGGTACCCTTGGTGAGTTGTAAAGTCACCATAAGGTTATAGGTTATCTGATTTTCATTCCATAGAACCTTCATTAATATCTGCCCTTTAAGGGAAATGTAAAGTCAAATAACACTATTAGAGCTGTAACTATATTTGCTATATTTTTGAATGTGTATTAAGTATAGGTTTATATTTATATAGAGAGGTGTAATACATCTGCTACTAGCAACCTGGGTGCTCTTAATATTAGTTATTGTATTTTAGTAAAAATGGTTTAGCAATGGTTTGACACTTGTCCTACACACGGCACCTGATTTAGGTTTCTAATCAGGATTGCTGATCATATAATGGTGGCTGCTGAAGATTAGCTTGGCAGTATTCTGGGTTTGGTAAAATTCTTATTACTGTTTTTTTTTTTTTACGCTTTTCAAATCTGAAGGAGCTGATTTTTTAACTGGCTTATATTAATGTTGGTAATATTTTGCTACCAACATTTTTGGTAAAAAAGAAAGAAAAGGAAGGCAGGAAGGAAGGAAATAAGGTATTGAAATGTAAACAAATTTGGTAAAAAGAACAGATTTTTTTATATATTATAAGAATTTATACCTTATATTTTAGATGGATGTTGTGCAATGTGAAAGGGGAAACTTTAGTAACTTTTAGCATATTAAAATACTTTTTAATAATGTAATTTTCTATGAGTGCAGATATGAATTTTTACATTAATGTTTTAACATCAGAATTACATTTTAACAATTTTAAAATTAAAGTGCTAAAGAATCTTAGAATGGTGCTATATAAAATTCTATCGGGGTGGTTATTTTTCTTTAGCACAATACTAGTTGTAATTAGATTCTTCCAGTTACAGTAATTTTCTTTTATAAAGTCATTCTGCCTTCAGGTTTCAATGGCAAGTCAACAGCACATATGCAGCATGTTCTGCTGTGGGTGCAGATTCTTTGAGAAACATACCCAGGTCATGTGTTACTTCATAGACTCCATTGAATAAGATGATGTTTGTAAATAATTTGTTTTTGAAGAGATTGTGACTATTTAAAAAATTATTAATGTACTTTCAGAAGTTTTAGGGGTATGTTTAATAACTGTACAGTATTATCAGTTATCACAGGTTATTATGTTCAATAGTGAGGTTTGTGTTTCTCTATTTTAAACTACAATGTGTTTTCTAAAGAAAAATAATGGTTTCCACAAATGTGCAATCATAGAATAAGCACCTTAAGCTGACTACTGTTCCATAGATTATAAAGTAAGAAAACTGTATAAAGCTAAGTGATCTTTTGTCTGAGCAATACAGTTAAAATCAAAGATATACGCAGGATAGATTTTGGAACAATTGATACTTCTCTTGTTAAAAGAGATAGTTGCCAAATATTTGGTTTAGTTCTACTGTTGACCTGGGCATTGAGAGATAATATGTACCTCTTTCAAAAGTGAAGTCAATGTTCAAGAAATGCTAGAAGCTTTACATTTTTAGTGGTCAGAAATATTTAATGCATCTTTCAAAGAGGAAATTTTTACCATCAAGGTAAAAATTCCCTTGTAAGATGAAACAATACTTCTTTATCAGTAACATCTAGAACTTAAAAGTAAATGATATTACAGCCAACCTATGAATCCAGGTAGACTTTACAGTGTGTCAACAGTAACTTTTGTGTGGAGTCATCAGGAATAAAAGTATCCCACAGACATCTGGCACAAATTCCAATAATTGTTTTTTTTAAAAATTGGAAATTAATTTTAAAATAACCTTAATTCTTCATCAGTATGGAATTTCTCCAATTATATTCATGTTGAATGAATTTTCAATTATGTATAGCTTACCTTTTCAAAATAAATGTTTTCTGAAATAAACAATGGCTGAAAGATACTTTCTTCAAATGTATTTTGAAATGTTAAAAAGCTAGTGCCTCTAATTTTCACAAGTTTTAAGATTGTTGAAGATGGAAAGTTTTCACTTCTTCTGAATAATAGTGCAAGATTATGCAAGATTTTTGTTTAATATTTAGTGAGTTAATATTAAGCTTAAATTCCTGAAGTAACCAGAAGAAATAGTGTGTACTTTTAAAAAAGAATGGAATAA